AATTTTATCTTATTTTTTATTTTATAAATATAATTTAAATTATTTATTTTATAATTAAATTAATTTTTTTTTAATTTTTATAAGTTTACATAAAAAAATATATTAAAACCCCTCCATCTTTATTGTGTTTAAACCAGTTAATCAATAGTTGAGATTTGTCTGCATAAAAAATTCTGAAGAGCATTTGATATAGGGTGGGTATTACTTAATTAGGCAGAAGCGACCAAGTCACACTTTGACTTTTCAGAAATATATATCCTTAACCAGGTTATTGCTTAAGCTTAATACTGCTAATGATAAAAGAAATCACAAGTAACAAAAAGCGTAAACAAAAACTACAAGATAAGAATTTATTAACACAGCAGAAAAGGAAATAAATGCTCAGGCTGCAGATCCTCCTGTGGATTCAGCACATATCTGCTTGATTTTAATTTCACTACACGTACAAAAATATACTTCTTCTTATGACACTATATCAGTCATTTTAAATAAAGTTTAAAATAAGAACTTTTTGACAGCTTTTACTTTTAATTTGTATCCAAAGACATGATATATCAGACATGGCACTCCTCCATCTGAACATCTTTAGCCTTCAAAGGCTCATACTCTCCATGATAAACTTCAAGATGATCTGACAAAGCAGATTTGTCAATATTCTGATGGTGGTAGGACTTGCACACGAAATAGAGCACAGTTTGGATAACAAGTTGGAACAGATACAACTGAGACAACACCACCAAACAAACTACCCCATATGCTGTTTTATCCACTGACCCCAATCTCCACCCTTGCACCACCGTTTTCTTGAACAAAAACTGCAACAACGTAAAGGAAATCACGAGCTTCAAAAATATCACCACGGCCAAACCAGTCTTCCCCTTTATCAACTCAATGCTCTTTCTCATGGCTCCAACCCCACACGAGTCTTCCAACACGGTCACAACACTAGCCATGTTCCAAACCACTGTCAAATACACAAACCCCGCGAAGTACAAGATCACCAAGAGCACTAAAATCACAACCCCACCACCACCACTCCTTCCTCCAATTGTAAGTGCCCATATAATGAAAAAAACCACTGCCATGACGTTGTAGGCGAAGAGAGCCCCGAAGGTGCACAAAAAGGTAACCATGAGCCTCTTCCAGACCTTGGGAACAACGCTCATGACTTTGGAGAAGGTGACATCTCTTGCGGTGTAAGCAGAAGCGACGGTGTAGACCACTGCTGAGGTTGAGAGGAGGGAGAATATGATGAGTAAAGTGAAGTAGATGAGCTTGAAGAGCATGAACGTGGCCCATTCGGAAGAGAGCGTGTTGGTTAGGTTTTGGTATTGGGGTGTGTCTTGTGGGGTTTCCATCATTTGTTGTGTGTTGTGCTTGATCTTCCCAAAGAGAACGTTGGACACTTCGATGTGGATGAGGAAGATGAAGGAGAGAGGGAGGATTAGGGTTAAGGTGATCTTGCTGAAGATCTTGCTCCATGAAAATATGATGTTGTAGGATTCTTTGTAGACGCCAAAGATCCCCAGGAACTGCATCTCTTCTTGTTCTCTGTCCATTTTTCAATCAAGTTTTGGTTTGGTTTGGGTGAAGGTTGAGAATATAAGAGAAAAAAGGGAAACGAATGGTTTGCAAATTGCAAAGAGAATCTTCCAAAGGCTGGAATAGACTCGGTTGCTGTTATCTGCCACAAAATACCCCAACATTAGAGTCGAATTAATATGCTAATCGATAACAAATGTCAACGTTATTTTCCGAGCATTTTTTATTATATATCCTCCAGAAACAATTGTAGCATGTTAGGACCACTATATACGATGATGAGAGTATTATTTTTGGAGCATTGATAAACAGATATAATATATCCGATCAAAATATAACAAATGAAAAAGCAGTCACTTTCGTCTCTAAATTTATAAAGTATTGTCATATTATATTAATTTTTAAAAACTAAGAAAATATTAAATAAGTTTTTTAAAAAACTATAGATTGATCGACAATTACATTAATTTAAAATTTAAAAAAAAATAGTGACTGAAGTAAATAATATATTGAGTACATTTAGAGATCAAAATTATAGCATGCAGTTAAGGTTATTTGTTTATATTTGGAGGCTGTTCAATGGAAACATACTTTTAGTGAAGCAGATTCATTTGCTAAGCATGGTTTGTGATTAGATGGAGTTAATTAAGATGTGTCATGTTTAATTAAGGTACAGTTTTTTCTTTTTTTGTCGAACTGGCTTTTACTTTTGTTGCTAGCTAGAGGATATAGTTTAGTTTACTTCATTACTAGTAACGAAAATCGTGGATTGGTCCTAATAATTTTTATATCATTTGGACCTGCGAGATCGAAAAAAAAAAAAAAGAATATACAGAAAAACAAAAACAAGTTCATGAATGAGCGTTGACAGAACAATGGCATGTTCGTAATTGTGGTGAAGTTGGATGCGGATTCCAGTTTGCAGAAAATAAAATGGCTGGATTTTGTCCTTAAAGGACGGCGAAGACCAAGTTAATTATTGTATTGTATGATTGTTAACGTCTAAACCAAGGTGTGAAAACTACGAATAATAAGAATAATTATCAATATATATATATATATATATATATATATATCGCTTTGGTTTTTGTCCTTTGTCAAACTCCTCATCAACGACGAAACGTTCCAAGCCTCTTTATCTTGGAAACTTACAAGTTACAACCTTATTCCCAAAGAATTGAAAGCACTTGCGTGATTTTTACGCTTCATTCATGCTGATATTTGTTTGTATAAAAGCTCACATATAAATTTTATAGTGTAACTAAAAAAAATTAGAAAATAATATACACAATAAAATATTTTACATGAATCACTAATTAAAGTCAATCTATGATAAGATGTTAGACTTAAACGTAGGTGAATTAGAGAATGAAAACTTCAAAAGTGAAATACCAATGAGTAAAGAAGATGTTGGTAATCACCTGCAAACACTTTAATGTTCAAGGTACTAAGTATTTCAACCGAGTAACAACATACTAAAAGTTCAAAACCTAAGAATACTAAAGATGTGTTTGGGGTGAAATTCATCTATGGAATTTTTTTATTCGAACTAGCACAATTTTTTATTTAAGTATGTGTATCATGAAGTTTTCCCTACGTCCCTTCTATTCACTATTCATGTGCAACAAGTTTTTCAGAATAAACCTTCTACATATCAAATATGAATAACTAAGCAATTTTAGACTGGTCAAGTTCTAATTTTATGTGATTTAGCATGCAAAGATCGCTAGATTTTCTTTGATGATTATCATGAAACAAGATTCCTGCAGATAGATATTTAAATGAATCGAATAAACAATATATATATTAATAACAAAAATCATAATTAATTTGCTTCCAATAATTGTTGAATTACATAGTGCATAAGAATTCGGAGAAGCAACAACACACTACTACGCTATATTAACTAGGCTAGGACTATTCTAAGAAAAGAGAAGAAAAAAGGGTGGCCAAGAAATCATACTTAGCAATCTCATACACAAGAGCCATATGCGCGGGCAATGAGTGTTTGTGAGAGTTTGTGTTTGTAAGCATGAGTTTTCAACCTCCTGAAATGAGCTTTCCGCTCGGCTATTTATAAAGGATAGGGATGGGAGGTTATTTTTGCTTTAGTTCAACGTGTGGTATGTATAACCGCTCCCCATTACGCGACGTGGGTAACTTCTCAATCGTTTTCAACTCCCCACAACTGCTTTTGCATCTTTGACTCTCGAATAATGTCTTCGATATCCTAAGTTTTTATACTTTCGAGGAAAAGTTATTACTCATTGGACCTTTGTAACATCCTAAAATTTTATTTTGGGATTGTTAAAAGGATTATCATATTTTTTTTATATATGTATTTTACTATTTATGTATACGTATTTTACTATTCACGTATACGTATTTTTGAATAGTAATATATGTATTTTTGAACAGTAAATCCGTGGACGAACAGTAATCTCGTGAATGCACAGTATTTTACTATTAATATTATTTTAATGAATAGTGCATAGTAAATATAATATTATTTTAATCTGCATAGTAATTCCAGAATTTCTATAAATAGAGGCTAGGGGCTGAAGGAAATTCATAACTTGAGATAAGGAAATTCTGGAGGAAGAAAGAGAGAGAGAGAGAAGAATCTAGAAAGAGAGGAGGTTCTACTCTAGTTCCGGTCCTAGTTAATAAAAAAGAAGAGGAAGTTCTACTCAAATTTCTATTTAATCAGGTACGGGGGAAAAGAGGGTTATTTATATGTAAAATACATGAGGGTATTGGGTAGAATTTCTTAGAATAACGTTTGATTTATGTGAATGGACGGCCAAGCCTCCTATTGATTTAAAATTTGGAATTTATGTGAATGGACGGCCAAGCCTCCTATTAATTTCTAATTTGGAATAATTAGGAATTTTACTGTTATTCTATTAACTTTTATGTTAATGAAAGTTAATTGCTATATTACTTGTAAGAATGAAGAATATTGATATAATATGCTTGAGGGGTATGTAGATCTTACTTTGTTAAGTTTATTTGTTATATGGAATTATACATGTGTTATAAATTTGATGAGATGTTGTATGGTTGTGATATGATTGTGATTGTGATGTCTCACATCGATGGCTAGTATGGCACGGCTCTGTATAAGTGGTGTTACAGGGAAGGCGTGACCCTAGCATGGTGTGAGATGAGAAAAACAGTTAACACCACCACTTATGTCAGTTATGGCAGCCCTGACATAGGGTTAATTGCAAGAGATTGTATTGATTGTAATGTGATTGTTGTTACTCACACTAAAGGATTAAGGATGATACGAACCCTGTGTGGTGGATACTTCAGGGACGAGCGTACTCCTCGTAAATCAGGGATGATACGAACCTTGGGTAGGTGATGCTTCAGGGACGAGCGTACCCCTGGTATGGTGTGAGTAAGGGAGGCAATTAACCTGTATCACTTGTGTCAGATGTGGCGAGGTCTTGGCATAGTGTTAATTGTGATATTGATG